TTTATATTCTATAGTAAGTTCTATAATATATCTAATAAATATAAGAGACTAAATAATCCGCCTATCTAGATATAGCCTCGCGCCCTTTCTCTTCTTATGTAGCCCGAGAAAAGGGTGTATTCTCGTGGTTATGAATGGATAAATGCTAGCTCGTAAGTTAATCGGAAGGTTATAAATAAGAACTATACATATCAAAAAGTCCCCGATATATGCTCTACATATACCATAATTATTACAGAACATACTAGAGCTAGATGTAACGAATACTCAAACTGGCTAACTAAACTTGGCTGGGTGTTCGCTGGTTGGTATGCTATGATAAGAAGAAGACTATCGGGTTGTTCACTTGGAAGTGAACTCGTTACTTGTATCAAAGATGTCAAACTAATATGATAAGATTGATAACTAAGTTGAGCACGAAGCTCCTATCTAATGGCAGACGTGCCAGTCTTATATAGAACCTTCGTTCTCCAAATCCCAAATGTCGACAGCGCGCTCGTCGTGCTGTCGCGCGCGACAATTCGCTTGTCGCGCTGTCGCGCTTTTATCACGTGACTATGAATGCTATGAAATCCTTGGATACTCAACAACCCTGAGTAACCACTGCTATGATATAACTACTCTGGATGTATCTGTCCTGTCAGAACGCCGTTTGGACTAACTCGTCACATGCTAACACGTGATTCGTGACACTAGAGTTTACCCCCTTTGTTGTTTAGCATGTGCCTCTTGTTTAGCGAGACTCTCCCTGTACTTTCGATACGGATGGATCCATATGAGTCACGCTAGCCTTGTCAGGAAGACGCTAGTCTCATTCAGGAAGGATCTATGGTATAGGAGAGCTCCTATATTAGAGTTCTCCTTTCCCCCTTAGCTAGCTTCTTTTCATCTATCTACTTTTCATATAGCTTATTCCGATAGTCTCCTGTTTTGTCCTTGATAATAATCGTTACTATAGATATCCCTCTCTAAGTCCCTTACCATGAAACCATTCTAACATTCTCCTATCTTATCCTTAACAGCTATACACAAACTTTAAAAACTATATTAATACTAATTTCCACTACCGGTACCCTAGATATCCCATTCAATATATTTTTATCCTATCTCTCTCTCTCCCTCCCTCTCTCTCTCCCTACCTCTCATTTTCAGCGAACAAAAATACAATAATACAAATCTTTTTTTTTACATCTACAACTACCCACTCTATAGAAACCCCACCTTCTCCTTACTTCCTAATTAACTCAACGGAAGTGTACATTAATATACGCCTAAAAAAGTAACTTATAATCAAAATAATCTTTCAAGATAAAATAATAATATGTGATACTATATGATTTTTGATTTAGGATGGGGAATATAGTATTTCAGAGGGGTGTGGAATGGAAAGGAAGGAAGTAGATGGTGGAGGTTACTAATTACAATAATAATAATACGGGTTAACTTTTGTAATACGTAGAGGATGTTAAGTGAAATGAAATGAAATGAATATAGTAGAGTAGAGTAGATACTGGGAATAGAGTGGTTTTTATTCGAGATTTTTGAGGAAGGAGGGGGGATGTTATGTAGGTTTTTTGAGGAGTTGAGGAGTTGTAGTTTGATGATTAATCTAGATATTGTTGGATGAATTATGATTCTGGAAGTGTGGAGGCTTGTGAGGGATGGAAGGTGAGGTGCTGGAGTGTAGATAGGAGAGATGAAATACTACTGATGGAGAATGCGGAATGTGCGATATTTTTGAGATCATATGGAATGATAGATAATTGGAGGAACTCCTTGCTAAATAGAATGATGAGGAAATATATGACCGCTTCTGATAAACCAAATACCTTATTCTAAAAGAGACATAGCAATAATTCCTGCCATAAGATGGCCCACCCATTTCCGATTCCAAGGCGACGAATGACAAGCGTCTTCAAACCACCCGACTCGCTTGTCATCCTCCCCCCTTTTCAGCGTCGCACTCTGCTTACTCAAGTACCACGGCACAAGAATGCCCTCGTGACGCATGGTTACAAAAGCACTTCCATGTCTTGTCACGAACCGGAAACCGAAACCGGTCTGTTCAACTTGAGCCTCGTGGGAGGCTGTTGTAACAGGCTATACGCACTCGGAGCACGTCTCCTTGAACACCCGCCGGTTCGGAAGGAGTCAACGTTTCGTTTCGTCGCTTTCTGACCGATTTCGACTTCTCACCATCGGGGCAAAGGTGGAAAAGTGACACGACTTTTAATGATAGCAGCTTCAAATTCCTGCCTTGTTTTTTTTTTGAGGATAATGGCACTGTATATGGTTTTGGTAGATGTGCTCAATCTCGATGAGCTGCAAGGTGGTGGGTGCAGAGATGCCCACTGTTGATGAGGCGGCTAGGAAAGCTTTCTAAACATCTTGCAGTCTGCCTTGCCTGCTTAGGTGAGTGAGTGCAACCTTAAAGCTGAGTGCATCCGTATGATGGGATAAACACCGTCCACACGGAGGACATTGAGGCAATTGCAAGACCCCATTTCACGTTGCCGTCAGTACGTACGCGGAATGCACGCGAGGGGTATTGCATCCTCCCAAATTATGAAGGTTGGTCGGTTCCTTGAGCCCAGCACATGGAATTCTGCCATGTCCAGTTCGGGACGGACAGGGTCTACCGATTCGTTGGTGACATTGATTTAGCCAGAATTGTGCTGGAGGCACTTGCATATTTCAACGTTAGCCATGGGTTTGCAGGGCACTTGCAGGGGCTCTGCAGGAGAGGTGCAGGTTGCAGATTGCAGATGTGCAGGCTGCTGGGAGTTTCCAATGTTTATTCGTCTCCAATTTGGTCGCCCTCGGGCATATCCAGGCGTCGGCAAGACATGCGTCACTTCATTGTCCTCCACCATGTGGGAATGAAGGGGTGGACGATTTGGAGACGGATGGGGCCCATGTTTGACGAGATGGATTTGGGTGGCCAACAGAATATCGGCGGCGGGTCGAGCAAGTAAATAGTGTTTGAATGGCATGCGTTGAGTGACTGGAGTGACTGGAGTGACTCGACAGTTGGGAGGTGCATTGCAGCGGCGGCGGCGGCACTAGTACTATGTAAGTGCAGCCATGCAGTTCTTATTGCATAGTGTGTTGCCACCACAGCACATGCGAGCGAGCTGCGAGCGTGCAAGTGTAGCATAGCAGGCAATTGATGAAGTGGTTCTGTTGGTGCATGAGTCGAGGACAGACGATCACCCTCACGGGTGTCCCCCCCTTCGGCAAGCTCAACGGGCCACGCTAAACCAGAGGGAACCCCCAGGAGGCGAGGAGATGACAGAACTCTATATTGAGCCCTGGCATGGAGTTTGATCCGTGAAGATGGCCATTATTCAGGTCTGGCCTTGGTGGCCTTGGTGGCCTTGGTGGCCTATCCGGTGTCCACTGGGGAGTCCATGCCAAATGATGCTTAGGGTTACGGTGGGCATCGACTTGAACCTTGGTCTTTGCACCGCTTCTCAACGACACCTCAACCTCTGGAGAGTCGAAGACTTGTCAGTGCTCGTACTCAAGTAGAGTACTCGAGTAGAGTAGATTAACGAGATTGGACACTTTTGGCTAACGGCCCTACTAAGCTACTAGCGGGCACTGGGATCTGTGTCTAGCTGGAACGGGCGCGGTAGGTAGCGTAGCGTAGCGTAGCGCCGCTGCCTTCAATTAGTAGACGTCAGTGACAATTCTCCCTATACTCTACTGGACTGGTACCCTCGCTGTCCCCTCGTATCGGGACGCTACAGTACGAGTATACGGAGTCCGGCTACGGCACTACGGCACCTACGGCACTTTCTGACAGGCTGCAACAGTTCTGTAGCTAGGGCTATCTGTAGCATACATCCAATTGCAATGTACCCCGTACCGTACCGCACTGTAGTCTGTAGCAGAATGATGAAGTTAATGAACTCATCCGAATTTCAGCCTTGAACTTCAGCTAGTGAGCTAGCCTAACCCTAAGCTCGGACCAGATGAACTCACAGCACATCACCACGGAACACGACCACCCACTCCCCACCAACAAACTCCAGACAGTGCAGACACGAATGACCGGCTCCCCGATGAGCGCCCATAGCAATGGCGCGCCTGGATCGAAGCGAAGGCCGTAAGACCAAGCAATAGCACCTTGGTATGAGCCCTAGCCAGAACCCGGTAATGCACTGGAAGGGCATTGGCAGCCAATGGCGTTGGCAACGATCGTCTGCTCAGTGCTCGATGACAATGTTCATCTAGTGGCCCAATTGCTTTGGAAGTGAGTGCCAACAAGCGTTGTAGTTTGTACCTAATGATTGGTAACTAATGATAGTTTTTATATCTACTCAAGCACTAGGTAGGAAAGTGTGAACGTAACAGGTAAATTGCCTCACAATTCATGTTTACGTATTAACATTTCTTGAATGGAGTCGTTTCAATGTTACAATATGCTAAGAACGGCGAGGCCGTGGATGTCCAATGCTCTGGGGTTAAAGTTCCATGCAATGCAGACAGATGTCGAAATCTCGGTCTCTTGCGGCATTGTACATAGATTTACTCAGGGACTTAGTATAGTAAAGGTACTGTATCAAGAAGGTTCTGGGATGGATTGAAGTGCAGTTTAACTCTCGTTCTCGCTGCTCTCTGCAGCTCTCACCGCTCGAGGGGGGACGAGAAATGAGCCAGTAATTACCAGGAAACCGGTGCTCTGGGTGTATATTTGTCGAAGTAGCTACGTAGCGATGTTCCTGCGTACCTACTTATGTGCCTATGACAGTCCTTCGCTTCGTACCGAAGGACTAGTGAGGTAGGTATACTTCGTCATATCTCTGGACAGCCGAGCCAGCTCACCGTTCATGGAAGTAGCATGCTGGCCGTTCTCTTCCAGGCTCAACCTTGACGAGAGCGACAACCGCCGATACACGACCTAATAACAGGCCACCACAAACGACGATCCATTCAGCCCAGCCGGCTCCAAGAAACTTGACACTAACTGCTACGGTCCTGCTGCCCTGCTGCCCTGCTGCCCTGTTGCCCTGTTGCCCTGCTGCCCTTCTGCCCTTACCCACCAGAGTAGAGCCATAGCAGCGCCAGCGCCAGCGCCAGCGCCAGAGCCAGAGCCAGACAGAAAGACCCCTACACTAGAGGCTAGCACCGACCACTACCTGCACCCACACCCACCGAACCACCCACGGGGCCAGGGTCCATACAAACACCCGCGGCCACTTGTTTTGCCGCTTGCGCTTGCCTGCTATTTACTCCCCTCGTCCTCCTCCTTCGCTTCGACTCTTGGTTCTCCTCTCTACCCTTTCCTCTCCTCTTACCTCTACTCCGTACCCTTTCGTTACATTCTACAAGTACTGCGGCACTGTACGCACGATCTGCAAAGTTTCAAAACACCACATCCAAAATATACTTCGCCGTTGGACATTGCGCCAGATCGGTAGACAACCGAGTAACCCTCCCCCCTCCCATCCCATACCGTCACGCACTGGCACGCGGAAGTGCAGGAGGGACCATGAACGCTGTCTGCTCTTGGCTTGGCACAAAGGCGCCGAATAGCAAAAGTGTGGCACCTTTTAGCGAGTCCTCGCCGCCTGCTCCCGCCCTCGACAATACCTCTGAGTCTGCCGCCGGAGCATCTTCAATCTCAACTCCATCGTCCGAGGAGCAACCAGCCACACCCAAAAATATTAACATTGACATCGACATTACCGGTCTGGAGGATTCGAACATGACCTCGACCTCTCCGATTAACATCGCCACATCCAGAACCTCGTCTTCATCTCCCTCCGCCATGGGCATGAAGCCTGTCATAAATTATCCAGATACCGATTCGCGGACCTCTGCCATCATGAGTGGCGGCGCATACGATGCTGGTCTGGGAAGATCACGCCAGGACTCGTTCGCCGGCGCAAAACCCATATCGATGAATAATCCAAATCGCAATGGACAAGACAATCGCCAACGTCGAGAAAGTTTGGCCGGCAGCCTGGTCGGAGGCATGAGTTGGGGTGGTGTTTCTGTCGGCAGCTGGATTCGAGATGAGTAAGTGCATCCAATCCGACCTCAAGGTCCTCTGAATCGTCTGGCCTCCCATTCCCGCGGGCTGAGCAAGAGTACGGGAAAAATTGTGTTGCGCGCGCCACATTATTCCGAATATCTACTTACACTCATCACAGTATTATCATGACAGGCACTTCCCCATTCCCATACAATTCCCCCTCCTACCACTCCTCGTCTTATCTACCAAAGCTCGAAGCAAATTTCATGAAGGACTTTGCATGCTGTGGTCAAACCTTACCCACACTCCATGACCTTTTACAGCACTACGAAGAGAGCCATGCACAACAAACCCCACAGTCGATGCGAACTGCCTCCGCAGCCGCCCGGGCAAGAGAAAATTCGACCCCCAACAGCAAAGCAGCCCTCGCGGTACAAGCTGCAAGCGCCGTTCAGCACCAATCCCAACAACATATTCAACCACCTGTACCTAATCGAACAAATTTACAATTGCCCCAAAATGGACCGGCTGTCGGAGGAATCCAATTGATGCGACAGCAACAGCAACAAAAATCTCAACCTTCAACTCCAGTCCAAAAGAATGTACAGGCAGCTCGGGACCATGAGATGGAAGGTGTAGAGGACATGGAAATGGACGATGCCGTTGGTCCTATGGACAATGCCCCAGATACTCCAGTTCAACCAATCTCACAACCCGTTCAGCCCGCACAACCTTCACTTTTTGGACAACAACCGCGACCAAATTTACATATGAACTTGAACGGCATGCAACACTCTGGTCTGAGAACGTCTCAGCCACCAACACCAGCATCTTCTGGTTTCGGTTTCCAGAATAACCCAACCGTTTCCTCTGTAAACACCCCTTCGCTTAGTGCGCAACTTCCACAACAACAACATAATACTTTCTCTCCCGATCCCTCGGTTCCCGGCACCCCGGCTAACGAAGATGATGATTACTCCCAAATGCCCATGAACATGGCTCAAATGAATATGATGAACATGAATTTTCCCTTTGGATTTGGAGCCGGAAATGAGCTTGGTATAGATCTATGTATAGACGAGCCCGCAAAACGCTTATATAGTCCAAGTGGCGCTTTCAGCAATCAGAGAGTAATGCAACAACAGTTTGCTCAGTTCAACTTGGGTCAAGGTCAAGGTCATGGCCAATACGACCAGAATAGCGATCTTATGAGAGCTTACCGACAGCAACAACAGCTCATGGCAATGAATGGCATGGGAAATCCCGCGGCCGCAATGATGATGGCTGCCGAAGAACACAAACCTTTCAAGTGCCCTGTCGTTGGCTGTGAGAAGGCCTACAAGAATCAGAACGGTCTCAAGTAAGCCACACACAAATCCTCCAAACGATGAACCAACTAACTCGAATACTAGATATCACAAGACTCACGGTCACCAAACACAACAATTGCACGAAAATGGCGATGGTACATTTTCCATTGTTAATCCAGAAACTTCTACTCCATACCCGGGTACCCTTGGCATGGAAAAGGAGAAGCCTTACAAATGTGAAGTTTGTGGCAAGAGATACAAGAACTTGAATGGACTCAAATATGTAAGTAAAACTCCCGTGTTATCCGATGCCTCGGCTCATAGTGATCTAGCACAAGCAACATTCGCCTCCTTGCAATCCAGACCTCAAGCTCAGCAGTCATATTGCAGCTGCTGGTCTAGGTGGATTGGGTGTCAATGTAGCGGGATTGCCCGGCATTGATGAAGGAGGAATGATGTGAACCCGCATACTCTTCTCACCAAACCAAAGTACGCCATGCTTGGCATCCATATGACTCGACAATTCGAACATTCGAAGGCGCCGAGGATTTCCTTTATTCGAATTATAACAACGGCGTACATATATTTCCAAAATTGCATTGGGCGGAGTTAATTCATTTACGAGCTAAGACTATACCCCGGATAGATTGAAATTGGGCGAAGACTTCTGGACTGGATAGAAATTTACGACCAATCACGCGAGTACGTATAAATGAAGCAACTCGACCTTGACCTCGACTGCACAAACGAACACGATACACCTACCCTTCTCTGGTCATATTTCGCCTGGTGGTGTCGCTCGCTATTTTTTCCCCTCGCCTTTTTTTGTTGCTGGCATGTTACAAAAATCATAAAAGCTTTTTGCTTTTTTTTTCTTGTCACTAATTCCACAGTATTGTTTCAAGGATGAAAAGGGCGTAATGGGCGTGGAGGTTTATAGAAGGCCTTTTTGTCTTTGGTTTTGGTACATGCTCTGTTGTGCTTTCCTTGTGTACTTATTGTGTCGGGATACGAGGGTTGCTTGCTTGTTATAGTGGCAACCTTTTATTCCCCTACTGGCTGATTATGGGAGGGTACGTTCATACGGGATGGGAATGCTTTTGATTTTGATTTTGTGGGGGGGAGGGGGGTTTGGATTTGCATTTTGGCATCGTTTTCACATGGCGAGGGATGGAGGCAATGGGAAGGCAGAGAGGGTGATTGGGGGGTGCGATTTCCCTCTTGCTCTTACTCCCCGAGGATTTCCTTTGTTCTATTTGTTTTTCCTGTTGTTGTTTTTCGCTATTATTATAGATGAGTCAGATAGTTGTCTCTTCTTGTTTGTTTTTTCCAGACTTGGATTGTATCGAGTCTCGTTTTCTAAATATTCGAAAAAAGTCCTTGCCACTCCATTCTTGATTATATGGTGTTTTGATTCTGCTTATGTCTGCTAATGTGGCGAGAGTAAGTAAATCCAATCAAGTAAATGACCCAAGTGAGTACCGTCATCAACTCCCCTCGTCTTGTGTTGACATTTTAGCCTTCCCGTCTTCCCGAGGAATGAATGCACAATACTGTCATGGGTAAATTTACGCTACTTCTATATGCCAGTCTTTGCCAAGGGGGGGG